CTTCAATATCTATACAAGACACAATACTTTTTAATTGAATAAATTCTAATTCCTCAGAGGTGCAGTATTGCTTATCAGTGTAAGCATACAATTTTTTATAACTAAAAGCAGACTATTTTATAAAGATTTTTATCTCCTTTTATAAATGTTTCTGATTCCACTACGTTTTTTTTTTCTCTTCATTCACAATAAATTTTGTACTGAATTATTTCATTACATTTTCAATTTTTAGATATGGAATTTTTTCATTTTTATTTCAATTGATGACCTGCCTTGTCCTGTGTTTCAATATTTATGTTAGCTCTTATTTTAACAATCATTTCTGTTTCTCAGTTCTTAATTGATAAGTTTTCCTTGTACTTTATTTATTTCTTTTTTCCTGTTTGTTAGGTACTAAATATATTCTGATTTTAATCATAAAATTTTCTATATTTTGTGATTTTAATAAATCTTTAGCTTATTATAATTAGGTTTTACTTAGTTTAAAATAATTGTCTTAACCTCAATAAAGTTATATTTGTTTGTTTATTTTGGCCTTGGTTTAGTATTAGTCACTCAAAATAATATTTTTATTAATTTTATGAATTTACCATCTTAATTTATATATTTCTATCTGTTTACTTAGTTTTTTTCTATTTTTAAAATAGAAAATCTTGTTTAATCTGTATTCTTTGAGTTTTTCTTTACATTCTTAAAAGCTTGCGTGAGGTGATTAAATGCAATTTAATTTTAATTAAACACAGATTATTTGTATTAAACATTTCTTTATTTAGTTTTTTTTTAAAGGATGACCGAGTTGAAGAAAAGCTATTCCATTTTTTAATCTATTATTATTAATCTATAATGTTTTATTTGATGATAAATTATTGATCATTATGCAATTTTTAAGGTCCTTAATTTCTGGAAAAAAAGTCCTTAATTTTTTTGATAAAAGTCCTTAAAAGTGCTTAATTTTTGCTTTGATAAAAGAGTGGGAACCCTGTTGAATCTCTAGTGGTAAATAAATTGAATGTTAGAGTCACGTTTTTGGTGGGTTCGCTAGATACTTTTATGGTAACTTCCCACTCATTTGCATTAGTTTTACATTTAAAAAAATTGTTCTTGAAAGTAAGCTACTGAAATGAAGTTTGTTTTCGTCACATTTCTGTTTTTGTTTTTTTTTCCCAGCCAGTTAGTGAAATGATAAAATAAAAAAAATATTTATTATAGGCATTTCTCATTTCAATTGTTATTTATAAATTTTTAAAACATAATTTTAAGTAAAAATTTTTGTCAAAGATATAATTTTGGAATTCATTTATACTTGTACAAACATCTGTTTGAGTCATTAGGTATTTCTTCAAATTTCAATCTATTGTTATTTCAATTTAAAATAATTTCTGTTTCATTTTATGTGATTTCTTGTAAATCATTCAGATATGTAATAAATATTTATTTGTACTTAATGTTTATTTTTTATATATAATTTACGTAAAAGTATGCTAAGCAATAATGAATTTATTTGAACTCTAATTTTTATTTTCTTAAAAAATTTCAGATTTTCTCATTTTTTTAAAAAATCTTTTTAGAATTACCAGAAGATCATCAAAATAAGTGGGAAGAATTTGTATCAGAAAAGTTAGCTGAAATAAATAAGAAAAATAGAATTTATGTTGTAAGTAAACCCCTTAAATACTTCAGACTTTGTTGATTGATAATAAAAACTTTGTTGATAGCTCTTGAATATTTTTTTTTTTTTTACAGATATCTGGACCTTCAGTGCAATCTGCTGCTTCTGATGAAGATTCTGTAGATTTTAGAGAGGTTCCCTTTGGCAAAGATTCATCAGAACGTTTGGTAACTTACTGGTGTCTTATTTATTTTTTAATAATATTTAAGCTTCTAAATCTTACCTTTGATTTAGTGACTTGCAATTATAAAGATTTTACAAAATATAAACGATGCATTTAAATAAATTGTACAATAATACAAACTATATAGAGGTAGTAATTGAATGAAATATAACTATAATTGCAACATTTTCCTGTATGACGAAAATTTGTTTTAATGTGTAAATATATAATGTAATATATATGTATATAAATTTCAAATTTAAATTTTCATAGACACAGAGGAGAGAAGCTATCTCATTCTCTTAATTTCTAACTTTTGTTTTTAACTTACAAATTTTATTTTTACTCATTATTTTTTCTAAACTGTCTAATGAGTTGTTGATCAGTTTTATTTTACCTTATAAACTTCTTTTTGTAATTTGTGACTGATAGTTAAAAAATTTTAAGATTCTTCAGAATTCTTGAATTTGAAATTGTTTTTACAGGCCTCTTGTTTTGTTGCAGTTACTTATTTCATTTATTTTAATTTCATTCTATCAATGACTATCAAATTATGCATTTCAGCAATTTATTTTTATACAGTCGGCTCTCTTAGATTGTAATTTAATAGCCTTCTACTAAAAGTTGGGATTCCTTATAAAAGAAATCTATCTCTTGTAGAACAATCGAAAAAAAACCCAAAAGAATATAAAAACGATCTATACAATTATTTAGTTAAGTTTTATGAGAACAGTTTAAGCAAATAAAATTTTAGAGAGTTCAAGGAAAAATGTGTTTCACTCTTATTTTTTTTATTGAAATTTATTTTATTTATTTCAGTTTCATACAGAATTTTAAAATTTATATAGGTACTATTATGAAAATTCATTAAATGTAATTTGTTTCTCATAATATCTTAAAATAAATAAATTGGAAATAAATTCTTCTATATATAATAATATAATATATAATAATATAACATAATAATATATAATAATATAATTAACTTATATGTTTCTCAAGAAACAAGAGTCCCAATCTTGAAATAGATTCGTATAGATTTGAAACAGTAAAGAGTTTTACTTACTTAGGGTCAATTATTACTATTGACGACAAAATCACTCCTGAAATAAAAAACACTCTATCTGGCAAATAAGGCTGTCTTTGGGCTGAGACGATTTATTAAATCTAGATTTCTTTCTCGAAAAGCATTCTTAATCTACAAAACTCTTGTCAGGCCAGTTTTGACATACGCTATTGAGGTTGGATAATCACAAAACTGGTTGAAAATTGTATAACAATATTTGAGAGAAAGATTTTGCGGAGTATACTTGGTGGTGTAAATGAAGACAATAACTGGAGAAGGAGATTTAACTTAGAACTATATAAGATTTATGAACAACACGATATTATCAAATACATAAAAATGAATTGGATGGCCCACATGATTAGAATGAGTGATGACAATACAATAAAAAAGATGCTGATTTTTAAACCCAATGAAACAAGAAAATGGTAAAGGCCGCGGTTGAGATGGGCTGACTCATAGTACTCTGATTTTCTTACAATTAGTTATAAGAATTGGAGATCAAAGATAAATTGGAAGTCTTTATGGAGAAATCTTCAGAGGAAGTTATTGGCCCACATTGGGCTGTCTGGCCAACTATGATGATGATATATAGTTAACAAATCTGCACAGATGGGATTACTTACATGCTTTTTTTTTGTTTACTATCACAAATATTTTCTGTTTGCAAACGTTACTTTAAGAAAAACTTCTGTTTTCTCATGGTTTTTCCTCTTTGGTGAAAAACTTGCTATCCTTGTTTCTAATGTGAATGTTCGAAAGAAATTTCTTCGATAATTTTTTTTTTTGTTTTTGTTTTTAAACCTTACAAATTGTTGACTCTTTTTTTTAATTTGATAATCTAAAAATATGCCTAACATCTTATGCCCAATTTATGTGATTTTAAAATATGTGGCATAGCTGCTAACTTTTATGCTTTTGCAGGTTTTCTTTCCTTTATTACCAAATAATTGTACTTAAATATTTAATTATTTGTCAAGTACATTTCCTTTAAAATTATATATAGGAAACCTTTTTATCCCCTGTAGTAGAATCTTTTGAGCTGTCAGCGACAAAACTCTCTAGCACTATTATCTTTCTGCAAGATACTTTTAATAATAACAAACATATATTTTACTAGTTTAAAATAACAAAATCGCTGTGTTTACAAAAAAAAAATATATAATTTTTTTAATTAAACATTTAATAATTTTTATTCTAATATTCTGGTGATATTCTCGCATTTTGTGAAGGGGGGCTCACAAATTATCTTCGCATTATTAAATAATCATCACAATAAAGAAAATAATCACTAAATCCATAGTATTAGTTGCCGAAAAAAAGATTTATGATAAAGTCACGCAAATCAGACTCTTAAAATTCGTGTTTCGAGATTAGGTTTGTTGTAATAAATAATATCATGTAAAAATTATCGGATTTAAAAGCTAAGGAGAAATCAATAGCAATAACTGCCATAAATTTGATAAAATTATCACCTTAAAAATTAAATTTCGTATTGTTTGAAATATATCGGGATATTCAAAATCCACATGAAAATACCAATAGCTGCCGAGAATACAATAGAAACATTACATCAATTTATGCTACTATCAGCTCAAATTGAGATGGTCAAAAAGTTATTATCCAAATGCATGTTCAAATATTACGTGTAAATTTTTGTAGAAAGGAAAAGAATTTTTTTTTTTTGATCTTTTCAAAAGAAACATCTTTCTGCGATAATGTTGCCGAGTCGCTGCTATTCTGCCATGGTTTTTTATTAAGCTGTGATTCTTTTTATTGCTGTCAAAAATAAATAAATTTCTACCTTAATTTTAATTATATTTTTTTATAACTGGGTAAAATCAACTACAAAGAAACCTGAAATCATCTAGCTGTTTTGTATAGCCATGTATGTTAAAGCCATTTGTAAATTATTTTTATAGGACTTTTCGGATTATCGTATGCATGAAATTACTAGTAATTTTGTTGACCAGTTTGGTTTCAATGATGATGAATTTGGTGACAGCGAAGAAAGTTTGATGTAAGTAAATACTGTGTGAAATAAGAAATTTGTGTTCTGAGCTATTATAATTTAATATACATTTTGTTTCAGTTATGCTAAAAATGCCCTGAATCCCTTGTCTCAAAATTTCCAAATTAGTGAAGGAAATAATATGGTAAGTTGTAAATTTGTTTTGTTTTAAGCGTATAATTTTTTTTTTTTTTTTTTTTGCTTGTTGATCTTTCATGTAACATTTAAAAAAAAGATTAAAAAAGCTATAATTTGCATATTTGACTTCTTTAGAGTTCCTTTTTTTGTTTGCGCAAAATTATTTTGTAATAGAAATTTCTTTCTTTCATGTGATTTCAAAGGTTCTGTGACATATTCAGTAGAAGATATTGATAATACAAGCCTTAAAATGTGAGGATATGGAATTTTGAGTTATTTAGATTATTTCACACAGCATTAAATTTGAAAGTAATTTTTTTTTAAGTGCAAATATTTTAAACACAGAAATAAGCATTTGAATATTTCTTATCAAGAGTATGAAAACTAACAACAAATTTTGAAATTTGTGTTACTTAAGAAATAGTATTTTTGTACAGCTAGTGAACAGTTACTTCTCAGGCTTTCAGAGGTCCATTTCCATTACCAATCCATTTTAATTTTTGTTTTTTAATTCCGCGTTTGATTTTTATTTTAACTAAAATTGATATTCTAGGGTCTAAAAATGTGTAACAATAAACTTCTATGAAGCATTAGACTTTTAAATAAACAATACTTCTACTTAACATCTTCATACCCTTGTGTATATAAAGTCTCAAGCTAATTTTCCCAGACTATCCTGTTCTTTGTAAGTCTTGTTTCCTGCCAGCCAGGTATGACAACTTGCTGCAACTCATTCAAAATTATTTGCTGTATGGGAGCTTGGGTTTTCCTTTTCATTTTTTCCCCTTTGGGTGGCCGGGTAAGTGTGACATCTTACTTGTGAGCCTCCATAAAACAGGCCCAAGCCAGCTTCATTTGCATTTAGAAACTCTAATTTTTTTTGACTCTGAAAGATTTGAATTGAATATCTTGTTGAGACTTAAAATTTTAAATGTATATCTCAAGCACTTGTTTTGAAAGGTTTCTAACATTTATTTCTCTGCCTTTATTTGTTTCAAGGTCTTAGCGCCATATAAATGAACTCTGGTGCTACAGCCTTGTGTACTGATATCTTTGCTTTCATTTCAATATTCTGAGATTTCCAAAACTTGATTGAACTTATAAAACATGTCCATGTTTCCATGATGCATTGTTTCTTGTCATCACTGTTTTCTTCTATGTTTATCAACAACTGAGTCAAAATAGTTATAGGAATCTACATCATATTGTTTTTAGATTTGTTTTGATTCTTTTCATTTATTTTTGGCACATTAGTTTTATTAATGTACAAGTCAATATAGTTTAAATATTTGTAAAAAAAATTTTATTTCAAATCTACATGTTAAGATTACAAGGTAATAATTTCATTTACACAGCTAAGATCAACAATAGTAAAGCTTGAATTTTGTTAATTTTTGTTAGTGGTTTGTATTTTGTTAACTTCTTTTTAAATGCTTGTCTGCAACTGGTCTGTATGTTAGTAAAGCCACTTGGTAGAAGAGAGGGTGTTTAAAAAAGGTACCAATAATTTGGAAACACTAAAAATTTGATAGAAACATTTAACAGTTAACCACTTATTTTTTTCTTTCTCTTTTTCTCTTATATTATTTCCTTAAAAGACAAGAAATACGGCTAATGTCAGAAAATTACTGTTCATTTATAAACTAAGTAAATACAATTAAATTGATAGATGTATCTTCAATGAGAGAAATATGTTGCTTATTTTTGTATAGTTTATTAAAATATTCATATCTGGTATTTATTAGCTTTAACGCATTTCATGATAGATTCATTTCCAAGTTTATTTCTGTTTTTAGATTTTACAAAATTTATTAAGATGATCCATTTTTCACACAAATGCAACTCTACGATGTCAAGTAACTCTTCAAGAGTATTATATTAGTAATTCGGTGTTATAAGAACCCTGATTACTGTTATGAAGGTGTAGCAGAAAAGAATTTATATATATATATATATACAGTACCGGTCAAAAATTTAGACTCGTATATTTTTCAAAACTTTCAAAAATAATTATATATTTCTGGCTTAAACATGTCATTTATCAAACATGAACATCAACAAACTTCACAAATTGCTATCTCCATTTAAAACTGCTCATTATTTTTTCATTTTGTATCTATTCTGTAGTTGATTACGAAATGAACGAAAGTGCATGTAAAATTCTAAAAAAAGTGCAATTTATTAAAAAATTTCATTAATTTTTAGGTTATAAACAATTTACTTTTTATCTTTTATTAACCCACTGGCGGTTAAGGAAATGGGCAAAATTGGGAGAATGTTTCTCCCCTACACACAGTTCCCCTATCAATTAACATGGGAAAACCGGTTTTGCTATGCAGAGAAGACTGCAGGTTAAAATGCGACTTTTTACGTGCAGAACCGTCAGTGGGTTAAGGTTCATTATAACTTAATTTCGTGTACATAGCACATTTAAAATATTGATATAATAGCCTTAATTTGCTTGAATAACTTGGACATAGTAAAAACAAAAGTTAAGATTTTTTTATGTAATTTAATACAAAAATATGGGTCAAATGCCAGGTATAAGTGTCGAAACACATGCAATTATTATTGCACTTCATTGAGAAGGCTATTAAAGTAGACTAATTGCCCTTAAAAACTAATGTTTCACAGACCACTGTTGTCAGAACTTTGCAAAGGAAGAAAGAAACTAAATAAGAGCCACCAACTATGAGGGAGACCTAGAATAATGTTCAAGCGTGAGGATAAGTTTATCTGCATTCAAAGTAAGCGCCAGCGGTTCCCTCGAGAAATTGAATTTAACAAGGCAGAAAACTGTGTCTGTAACTACTGTACAACATCGACTGTGCAGCTGCTAAAGGTTGTGCAGCTGATAGAAAACCTCTTTTGAAAAACCAAAACACATTTAAACGCCTGCAATAAGTTAAAAAAAAACATGTTAACTGGACTTTAGAACAGTGGTCAAACGCTTTTTTACTGACATGTCAAAATTTGAGTTGTTTGGAACCAAACTAAGGCAGTATGTTCGTCATTCAGTTGGTTAATATATGTCAAATCAATGTTTACTGCCAACTTTTAAGCATTATAGAGGTTCCGTCACAGTTTGGAGGTGTTTTACCGGTGACAAAGTTGGAGATCTTGAAAGAATAGAGGGAGTTATAGATAAAAAGTATTATTACAGAATATTGCAGCATTACGCTTTTCCACGTGGACAGAGAATTGTTGGTCAAAGGATTTGTTTTTCAGCAAGATAACGATCCAAAACATTCATCGAAATTGTGTAGAGGCTTGTATCAAAAAAAAGTACTAATATACATGGATTGACCTCCTCACTCCTCCGATATTAATCCATTGAGCTATTATGGGATTAACTAAATAGAATTGTTAAAAAATCAGATGTACTAATCAAACCAAATTTTGGGAATCTTTACTTAGTTGCTGCTACCAGATCTCAACTGGAACATTGCAAAAACGAATAGAAAGAATACCAGAAGTATGCACTGCTGTGATCAAGGCTAAAGGAGTATATTTCGAAGAATACAAGATTGGATGAAATTCAGAAGTTAAACATAAAATTATAGCATTCCTTACCGCATAAGTGTCAAAATAAAGTTAATTTGTCAAAATAAAGTTAATTTGTTGTGATTTTAAGTTTAAAAACATTGTTATTTGTTCATTTTTAAAAGTTCAAAAGTGAGTCTAAACTTTTGACCGGTGCTGTATATGTATGTATATATATATATATGTAATATCAGGGTTACATCCCTGATATCATGGGTTGATTTTAGCTCAAATAAACCAGTCGTGAACCAAAATACCCCTTCAATAGCTTTATTTAACAGTAGGCTGTTGGTGGTAACAGTTAGTACCCATTCTCCACACTGGAGGAGGGATGGACAGCACTCTCGGACAATTCCAACAGAGTTTATCAGGATCACATCATGTTGAAAAGACACGCAAAAATGATTGTTCCTGCATTATATTCTAACAGAAAATGAGATAAAAAAGGCTCAAGTCGTGCATACCTTGTAACTCTACGCATCATCGATAATCATTTAATGCTTCCTAATATGGAAGTGAAAGAGGGTAAGACTTTAAAAATAACTCCTCCTTTGAAATATAAATCTAATTATAATTCATTGGTATGTTTTCAGCCTTGAAGTCCCAAAATAGAATATTTCTACACCTATTCTTTACCAAAGACATTTTATGAAAACGAAAGAGTTTTAATGCTTTTATTAATACAAAAGTATTTTTATAATTTTTGAATTACATATATATATATACTGTGTGATCTCTTCTCATTCAGGGTGCACCATTGATGCATACATTGATATTACATTAAAAAAAATTATGATTTTGTTCATTTCCTCGAAGAGCAGTGAAGTTTGTTTTTACAATAGCTAAGACAGAATCTTGAGTGAAAAAATTAAATTTGTTAAACTAGATTAATAAATTAAGTCTTATTTGAATAGTTTTTAAAAAAATTTTAAATAAATTCTTTTTATTTTAGATGAATTGTGAATAAGCATAATTGATGATATTAATTCATTGTCATAATTAAAATATTGATTTTTGTAACTAAAAAAATTGAAAAAAGAAGTCAGCAGAAACTCATAATTGGTTTCAGATTTTAATTTAATCACCAATACAGTGCAAAATTTTTGCTGATTTCAGGGCAGAAATGAAGTGTTTGAAGATCTATGTCGTTCTAAAGTAACTCCTGAATTTGAGGATATGTTTCGCTCTAAAATTAATCCAGAAAGTGATGCTGAAATATGGACTGACCGAGATCAATATAACTCTTCTTTTAGTTCATGCTTTAGAATCAAGTAAATAGAAAATCTTCATTGTTAACATTCATATATTATTTGAAATACTTTATCATTTGATGTTATTTTTTAGTAGGTCGGTTGAAGAAAATAATAGTAGTGATTCTGATGAAGAGTCACAAGTATTTGAAGCTGAAAATACTCCTCCTATCCCTCTAGCACCTGAAGAAATAAAAATGGAGGTTGATAATCATGACGGTACATATTTTAGATATTTTTTCTTTGTCCAAGGTCTAATTTTTCTCATTAATGTTTATTAGGCTTAACCGCTTCTCTGATTATCCTGAATTAACTCCGGTATGCATATATTGCAAATATTTATTATCCCGTAAAAATTCAGACGCAGAAGCGGAATTTATCAGTATGTTTTGAGAAAAATAGATGGTATATCACTTTACTGGTGTACACTTTGTGTTATCCCTTGCTTTAAAAACTATCATACAAAGACTAATATTTAACTCTTTTCATTTGCCCGAGATAACTCGGGATAGTAAACTGATGGTAAAATAAATATTTTTTAGGTATAAAAAAAATTCAAATTTCAAGATTCTTAAAACTTGTGTATTATGTTTTGTTTTAGTTCCTTGTATTATTAATGAAATAAAACAATATGTTGATTTTTGCATTTTTTAAAAAAAAAATTGTAAGGGAAGCGATTGAGCATAGTAAAAAGATAGAAGTTTTTAATTCATTGCCACTAAATTTTGTTCTTCATCTAGTCGAAATGCAAATTTCTTTTTGTTTATGTAGCCATTTTTGATGGAGTTCCCATGGAAGTAGCTCAAGCAGCAATTTCAAATCCATGGGGAAGTTCTGAAGCATGTTCTTCTTCCGATGACCAAGGAAACTGGGCAGATTTTAGTAATTTTGCTTCATTTGGCTCATCAACCCCAGCCTCCGAAGAGTAAGAATCAGTTATTTAAATATGCTTTTATGTACTTGCCTTTATTGTCTTGAAACCTGAAATGAATATTTTAAATAACTTTTTCATATTTACAATAAATAAAAGTCTCCACGAAAATTCCATATTGCAGTTGAATTGTGTCATTCAGTCTCTCACGAAATCTAATATAATAAAACCTCACTACAACGATATTTTTGGGACCAAATAAATATATTGTTGTAGAGGGATATATTGTTATATCGAGGGCCTACATACTTTGAGGACACTATAAGATTTTCTTTTTTAAATTTTTATGTTATATATGTATTAACTATAAATATATATATTAATTTGCAAATAGGTTATTTATGGTTAAATATTAGAAACAATTGAAATAAAATAAGATCGCAAACATACCTGTAAACAGTTTTAATTAAAAATAATTTATATTTTTGTTTGTTTATTCATTCTTCTGACTGTTAAGTCAACAGTGAGTCTTTATCTTGTCAGAAAGAAAATGCAAAAGAGGATAAAATAAGATTTTTTACATTATTTGAACGCCATTAATAAATGGAGCAAATAATTTCGAAATTTGGAGGGAAAAAAAGTTTTACAGGGGTTTATTGCTTAAGAGAATATCGTAATATTGAGAGGAGAATAACATTAATTCATATGAAAATTCATTGGGACCACAAAAGATTATCGTAATAGAAGGAGTTATTGTTGTATCAGATATCCTAGTTGCAAGAATTCACTGTGTTTGAAACATAAAAAATATATTTTTAAAAAAAAACTGTACTGCATAGATAAGATCTGGTTTAGAATTTTCTGGAATTTGGTTAGAGACCTGAAACAATAGGGGATTTATGTTTCTGAAACTAGGTAGGAACCCTGTTTCACCCCGCTTAATTTTAATGGTAATTCAATGTTAGTGAACTCACCCTATGTTATGTTTTTTTCTCTTTGATAAAGGAACTAGAACTAAATTTCTGTTATTTTTTTCATTGTTGTTACAGTAAGTATTCAGTATTTTACCATTCATCTTCATCACATTTTTCATAAAATATCAATATCATCATCATTAGTTTTTCTTAACTAATCTATTTCGAATATTTCCACTCTTTTTAGAGTTTTGTGTGCTCCACATATTAACATTGAACTTCTATAATGAATATATATGAAATAATGGTATATATTATCGCTAAACATATGACTATTAATAATATATCTAGTGTTTACTAACTTTAAAGATTGGGTATTGCAACTGTATTTGAATGAATTATATGAAAATATGTCATGAAGATACGAATGGCTTACACTTATAATTAATAGAGAAAAACAATACATCAATAATTGAGAATGATTGACAACGAGTCTCCTTTTAGATCTTTAGTATTCTGAGCTCATAAACTTGAATTATGAAGACATTTGGGATGTAAATAGACTTTTAAAATCATGAAAATATTCCAATTATTTCTACATCTAACTTAAAAAATGAAAAAAAATTTTTATATATGTATATATATATATGTATATAGCATAATAAATAAATACAAAAAAAACGAAGAAAATTAAGAAAAACAATAAGTTTGTGTATATGTCTATATATATATATATATATATATATATATCACATTTAAATTTAGTAAACATTTTTAGAGATTAATGCGAGTTAACTAAAATTTGTAACTGTTTGTTAACTGTTTAACTCTTAGACTATTTTTGATCACACTTTGGCTATGTAGTTAGTCTTAAAGCTTTTATCAGAAATAGCTTTTACCGTATTTTTCGTCGCAAGCGCCGCACGTCGATAAAAATGAAATTTTTAAAAAAAAAAGTTATAGTAAGCGCCGCAATGGCGCTAAACCGGGCATATCAGCATCCTTTTAGAAGAGACCTTTAAATTACCATTTAGAATATCTGTATAATAAAAAATTAAATTTTTTTATGCATTTCATAAAGTAAAGTTTTAATTTCTAAATTATAATAAAAAATTTCTTTTTCAGCAAAAAAAAAAAAAAAAAAGAAAACAACAAAACGATATAAAATAAAGTTGTTCTTACCAGTTGGCACCGCGCCAAAGAACAGAAGAACAGCAAAAAAATTATTTATATGTGCAGTAGCTACGCTGAACTGATTACAGAAATCAGTAAAACAATGTAATAAGAAAAGTAAAATAAAAATTTATTATATGAAAAATTTTAAAATAAAAAGATTTTAAAATTTATTACCGTTAACAATTTGAGGAAAAACTAATACATAATAACGAAACAGCTAATAATAACGAAATAACTAACAATAACAAGAATAATAAATAACTAAACAAGCCCCAAAAAAATTCTGAAGGAATGAGAGAAGAGGAAATAAGTTTCACTTTCACAATCTTAGGGGGTGGAATTTTAGTGGGTAGAATGCCCTCTCCTTCAATGGAAATAACCCAATGTGACTCAACTAGAAAGAGAAGAAAATGTTTAAAAGAGGGGTGTACCCCACCTCCTCCACGTGTCATTTCTACTGGAGCTGATTAGGAGAAATCAATCAGTTATATTTTAAAGGGGTTGGGGAAAAGAAAAGGGTATGGGACCCCTAATCCAGCATTCCAAAATTCAGCACTTAATCTGATCTAATTTTTTTTTTCTTTTTTTTTAAGAAATTTATATTGATAAGGTAAAAAAAAAATCAGCTATATTCTTTTTATTTGGAATTTTATTCTGTTTAAGTAACTTACTTTATTTTATCTTTTAAAAATAAAAAAGAAGCTTGAAAAAGAAAAATAATAAATATTTCTCTCCTCTGTTTGACCATAAATTGGCCACACCCAGTTGACATTGAAACTACCATGTAGACAACAAAATGAATTCTATCCCTTTTGCAGTTTTTTATTCAATTTATTAATTTTTTATTTTGCCGCTTTTTATTAGTTATTAGCTGCTAATTTGTTTTTTTTTGTTAATAGTTAGCTTGTTTTTTTTTCTTCTTGGTAATAGTTGTTTGCTTGTTTCTTTTATTTTTAACGTTATTAGTTTTTAGCTTGTTTTTTGTTGTTATTCATTGTTAGTTTCTTAGCATTAATTGTTACATTTTTTTTTCTTTTTTTGTAGTTTCTTGTTAGCTTTTTTTTTTTCTTGCGAGGTAAGTGTCTTTTGTTAAAACAAAATGTTAGCTAAAAGAAAAAACGAGAACTATGATCTCGCTCCAAAGAAGGAACGATTATTTCTTCTTCATAGGATTCGAAATATTTCTTCTTGATTATATTATATAGATTATTATTTTGATTAGTAAAATTTCTTAAGATGGTCCAGTTTTAAATTCACCCCATCATAATCTACGATCGAAACTTGACTAAATTTATCGTTTATCGGTTTTTCTGAAATTAACAATGGAATTGAATTATAGTAATATTAGGGGGCTATATTGGAATTTCCGAAAGAGATCCAAAGTTCGGAATTTCGTCAGTCCCGTGAGTGTCCGATTTAGGGTCCTATTACTTCCTTTTCTGTTCGCTCAAATTACAATTGCCGATGTTCTGCAGCAGATAGCGATACGGGCGAATATTTTGTCGACTTCGTTATTAATTTTTTTTACTAGTCTTTCTCTCAGAAAAATATTTCGTCGGAAGCGCCGCATGTAGGAAAAAAACAACTTTTTTTTCGATAGCACCGCGACGCTTCCGCCGAAAAATACGGTGATTAGAATCAAAATATTTGTAGTTCAGAGCTGGAAAAAATCATATTTTAATAATTTCTTACAAAAACTTCAAATAAGCCAGTGCTTTCAGATGTATTTATTCTTTATTAAATGTAAGTAAAAATATTTTCTGATTATATCCCATACTTTTTTTACATTAAACGAAATTTACATTCTATTTTTAAAGTATTTCAAAAATGTATTATCTCTACTTTTGACCTTTGCTTTTTTTTAATAAATAGTTCTGATGGTGTAAGCTCGACTGTTACGGTTGCAATGGAAACTTCAGACCCAAGCAGTGTTAAGTTTTGTAAGTATTTTATTTTGTATTGTTAGAATACCACAATATTGTTTAGTTTTGCATAATTTTCCAAATTGAAGTATTTACCTTAAATAAACATTTTTCTATAAAATTAAACATTATAAATGTGTTTTCTCATTCGCAAATTGTTTACAAGTTTTAACTGTGCTTCAGTTATATGATTTCAATAAAACTATTCTTCATTAATCACTTTGATGTAGTTTATTTTCATTTTTTAAAATTTATTTTCCACTAAAAAAGCTTCTGTAGTAATTATTTCACTAATAAAGTAAAAATTTTTATTCTTTTTATAGTAAAAAATATAATATTTTTTAATAAAAATTAATATAATATATACTTAATGTAATATATATACAGTAAACCCACACTACTGAACAAAATGTTCGTTCCCATGCCTCTACACATGTATGTTATTTTTGTGGATATAGTGAATCAAAAAAAAGAGAGGAAGTTTGATATTCTGAATTTTTTTTCTGTCTTCGACTAATTTATTTTCTTTATTTTTTTGTGATAAATATAGTGAATCAAAAAAAAAAAGAGAGGAAGTTTGATATTATGAATTTTTTTCTGTCTTCAATTGATCTATTTTCTTTATTTTTTGTGATAAATTTGAAATTTCTACTTCAAAATAAATACATATACCAATTTTTAAAACCATCTATAGCATGGAATGTAGCAATAAGCATTTTTTCTTGTTTGCTTCATTATTGAATTGGTTCAGCATTCAGAGAAGCTGCAATCGTCTAGTATCGGGACAAATGCTTCAAGTTAAAGCCGATGAATTTGTTAAGCAATTAGGTGAGACCACTTTTATGTGCTCGAATGGCTGGTTTGACAGTTTTAAAATTTGGAATAACATAAATTAAGGAAAAATTGTCAGAGATTCAGAAAGTGTTACCATATCTGATGTTGAGGATTGCTCATCAACTAAAGATTACTAATTTTTTTTTTTGTACGCGAGACGAAGAGTAATAAAAAATAAAATCAACATACTTTTGTTACTACCTATTTTTCATTCATTTTTGTATTTGATTTTATTCGTCATTTATTTAAATAATGTCGTGTAATAAAAGGGAGGGATTGAAACCATTTGTGTTTGCAGAACGGACATAGTGAATTTCCTGTTATAGTGAACAAAAATTTCGGTCCCTTGAAGGTTCACTATAGCGGGGGTTAGACTGTATAATGTAATATATATAATAAAGTAATATATAAAATATAATAAAAATAAAGTAATATTTTTTAATCTTTTTTTTTTGTATCAGTCCCCTGTGTGGTTTAAAATGATTGAATAATGCTTTGATAATTACTCTCCATTTTTAATATGGGATTGCCTAGAAAGCAAAAATTTAATGCTCTGACGTTTTGTTTTGAGCTGTCCTTTCCCAGAAACCTAAAATGTTCACAAGTCACACTCTAAGGCTTTTGATTCCTGTATTTTCCAGTAGACTACTGGATTTTGCCAGTTTCTCGTGGTCTGCTGGTTTAATAAAAATTCTCCTGGTTTTTTGACATTTTTAGAAAATTCCTTGAAATTCAGTAAGTCTCCTAAAGAAATCCCCATTGAGCTTTTTTTGAACTAATTATTGCTTGCTTGAATATTTAAATACATATTACTGATACATAATGAAGAGAGTCTCATTTATAAAAATCAGTTAAAAATTTTTTTTGTTCTAAAATATTGTTTTTTATTTAAATTAAGAACCCTTTTTAAATTAATTAAAAGTCTTTTAACTATCTTTGATGAATTAAATGCTTATTACTATTCAAAATTATGAGTAAACATAATACAATGCATTTCAAATTCATTTAATGTCAATAATAGCTACAAAGTATTGCAGTTTTTCCATTTTATGGCATTAAAAATCCCTAAATGTGTAAAATAATTCCTATGTGTAAAATATTTAGTACATTTGCAACAATTATCATGAAATTTATATTATTTCGTAAAATGTACTGAATTTTTTCCTATCTATGTTTGCAACTAAGTGAATGACAATTAAGAAAATATGTTATTTTATATAGTTATTTATTATTTTATATGTTATTTTATATGATATTTTATATATTTGACTCATTTAAAAAATTAACACATTCATAATTTTATTTTCTTCAGCCATCATGTTTTACTGTAAAATTTGTAATTTGTGCAAAATAAGAAGTGTGTGTTAAACAGAGACCTGGTGGTAACTTTTAGAAATGATTGTTGAAAATACTGTAATTAAATGGAATTTGTTAATTTATTTTAAATCATTAAATTTATTTTTATTTTATAGTTACAACTACCAGTGAAATATCTGAAGCCAAGGCTGAAACCAGTGTGTCCAGTGAAATTATTAGTTTTAGTAAATTTACGGAAGAAAAGTAAATGCATATTTCATTCATCTACTAAATAAATACATCAGTTGCTTTAGTGCAATATTGCAAAAACTATTATTAGCTTAGTAGTATGCATCTTATATAAATTATGAATGTTTCGACAGAGATTTGTAAGGTAAACTGGGAGAATTAAGACTGAAAAGCAGTTCAGTGTGTATAAATGTCCCATCTATCTATAAATGTGTGTATAAGTGTCCCGTCCTAATTTTCCCCATTTTCCTTTCCTGCAATTTTATAAAGGTAAATAGAATCAGATTCCTACTTTCTTCTTTTAAACGATGAAATCAAATCTTGTACCATAGAAATGTTGGCACTTTAGACAGTTTATTTAAAATGATTTCAATAATTCAATTAACCAATTATCTCAGAATTTTCAAGATATGTGCTAAGGAGCTCTTCTCAATTTTTTTAAGATTTATTTTAATAAGAATATTAAATCTTCATATAGGTTCTCAGTATGTGATTATGCCAATTAAGGGTTCAATAAATAATGTCATTTTAAAAGAAAAAACATTTCCATATAACTTAAAGTGAAATTATTGAAAAAGGTTATAAAAATCTTTTTCCTTAATTTTATTGTAGTTTAATTTGTTAGCATATTTAAGATTCATGATATGATTTTTTTTTTTTTTTTTTTAACATTGCTGTGGCGTGTGTGGGATTAAGACCTATTAATTCAATTATTTGTCACTTTCAATGAACTTTCCTTTGTGTTGACCTTATTCCATATGTTTGGCTGAATTTTAAAAAAGAATTTTCTACCTAGCAAGTATGCTTATCGAGGTTTATTTACTGATATTTAAAATTCTTCAGCTAAACGTAACAGATTAATAGCTGCACTTTTCTATTCAAGTATGCAGGCTCACCAAACTACTATTTTACACCCAAAGCATTGCAATTATTAACATTAGTTATAGTAGTTACTTTATTCATTTTGAGCCTTAAGTTTCAATAAATATGTTATTAAAACAAACCAAATTATGTTTTAAAAGGCAAATTTCAAGATATGTCAAAACATGTATGATAAAATGCAATGGAGAAACAAATTAAATAAAAGAATGAATGAAGTTATGCTACATTATTAGGTGAAATTCTTTGCCTAGTTTAAATCAACTGAAGAAATGCTATGCTTTATAATATTTAAGATTGTTTGCGTAGTTTAGTTTAAAGATGGCAAACCTATGGCATGCGATGAGTTATTTCAATAGCTCACAACTGATGTATAAATAGCTCTTTTATTACCTTACATCAGTGTTTCCCAAACTTAAGACTTTTGTGTACCCTTTCTAAATTTTTCGTAACGCTGTGTACCACTAATAAAAAATATATGTATTTTTTACTATAAAAAATGCACAAAAGTTAGAAATTACAACTGGCTGTTGACATCACTAATTATTAACTGTTAACTCTGCAAAAAATAGCCAATAGAAAAATACGTAATCGTAAATTTTCCTGGTTAGCTTTGTTTTTAAATAAAAGTTCTTGAAATTTTCATTTGTTGCAAGATATTTCGCATAACAACGCATACCCCCGCTAAACTGTTCCCCTACCCCTGGGGGTATGCGTACCACACTTTGGGAAACACTGCCTTACATTAACAGTAAATAATATTTCAAATATTGAAAGAAAAAAAAAAATTTTTTTTGACTAGCAGCTATTAAACGTGCATTCAGAAACTGCTATAAGGTCCAGTAGGTGAGACTGACTTTTTTCTTGGAAAGAATAGGAAATAGGATGGGTTACAAAGGAAGAACTTAAACTAAATTGCTAATTGCAAAACAGTTTCAGTTTTGGTTTCTCATAACTGAATTTTAAGATAGTATACAGCAAAATTGATAATTTTGTGTTATATCAAACTGATTTTTTGCAAATCAGTTTCTTATAATAGTTTAGACTAAATAAAAATCTGAGAAAAAATGAATAACCATACAAAAACAGACATAGCTAAAATAAAAAAATTTCCAATAATAAAAGAAAAGTCTTTTCGCAAACTATTTATCAATTCTCGTAACTGACTACCAATCCTTTCACTCGATTTCCTTGACAGTTTGAAATCAAAGTAAGTGTAAAAGGATGTTGTTTTAAAAATAAATGTGACAAATTGCACGGCAAATGAAAATGCTAAATATAATTTCTCTGGCATACGAACCAAAAAAGGTGCACCATCCCTAGTCTAGTGATTCCATTTTAAAATTGATAGTGCAAAAAAGAAAAAAGTTTCAGTACTTTAAAAAGAAATTAGCATCTTCTAAAAAAAGATCTCTTCCATTTCTATGTTTTAAATTTGTTCATAATTTTAAAAACTAAGATTAAATTTTTTTAAAATATGCTGTTTAGTACCATTTTAAATTCTTTCATCCTTTTATGGGTATAAATAAAGCACTCGGTATTCATTTTCTTTGGTAATAGAAATTTTTATATTGTTATTTTTTTGAAATAATAATTTTATACTCTTAATAAATGCATATTTCATGTAGCATAATATTTGGTTCCTTTTTTCCTCCACACTTAAATAATGAATAAATCTATATCTGCGTTAAACTAAGTATTTTATAAACTATTATTTAGCAAAGTTTTATTTTTGTTAAATATAGAGTTTTCACTTCTTTTGTTCACCAAGAAGCTCTTGATTAATTAAAAAAAGAATTTTTATTTTTTGAAAATCTATTGTTACTACACTACATTAAAACTAATCTGTTCTGATTTTTCTTTCATGTTAATCAATTTGATGTGCTTGCCAAATTATTATTAAACATATTAATTTCTACAGAAAGACAGAAATCTTACCAGATTCCACTAGTGATTTACAAGCAAATTCTGAAAGTGTACAGTCTCCAAAAACTGTTTCTGAAGGGGAAGCAGATTCAAATGTCATTAATCCTAGCAGGTATCTAATTTTTTTCTTCTTGATATTCAATTTTAGTCTCTTTCTAATTTAAAAGTTAATAAATCATTTGTCATCAAACCACACAACCAATGAAGAAAATAACAAAATAAAGTTACTAGAGTCTCCCAAAAAGTAAAGAATATTTTGGCATTTTTAAAAGCAGAAAGTATCAACACAAAGCTTTAGTTACAAATTCGCAATAATTAAAAAATTTTTAGTTTATTTTTTCAATGTAATCATTTCTAGCACTGTAGGCACTTGTTTTGTGACACCAATTATTCAATTTCAATGTTATTCTTTAAAATGTCAAAGATTTGAGCCAGAATTTCTTTTTTTCTTTTTTTTTTTTTTTAATATCTTCATAGTTATGAACTGTTTTTCATTCAAAAATGTTTAGGTTTGCGATTAGAAGTTTTTTACTTCTTTACTTAAAAAGTCTATTTGAAAACATTGTGCCTTTTGCTCATAAAAATATTTTTTGGTAAAAAAATTAACTAACAAAGCTGTGTCAAACTAGGAGTGTCGTTCCGGCTCAATTCCTTGACTGCAGATGAATATAGCATCATAGATGACATCATGCAGATGAATATAACATTAAAGTATAGTAATACTATATAATAAATTGAGTAAGGCATTGTAATTTTTTTTTCATCTCTGAAAAGTAATTTATATGAAATTAATAATTGTCCTAGTTCTAGAATAATAGGAAAATAAAATAGTCAAAATAACTTTTTTTGCTCTGGATGGTGATTTTAACAGCAAAGAGTGCTGTACTCTTTCCTACACCGAAACATCTATGTAATTATATCCAGTCTACTCTATTCTTGCTATTCGCCAACATGTATTCACTTGTTGACTTTTGTCAATTTGTTGTTTAAAGTAGCACCAAACTGAGCCCCTTCAGAGGCAGGAAAGCTTTTAGTTATTAGCTCGCAAAAAGCTGAAACTAACGATCAGATAGTTAAGAAGCTAGTATTGTAGAGTTGTATTGTGTACGTAGCCTACTCAGTCCAGTAAAATAAATTTCACTACCAGGTACCTGGACTCAGCCAATTTTACGGGTATCTAGTGCCTGGTAACAATTGTGTTTGGTTAAAATTATGTTCAGTATCATAGCAACCTTATTCATAAAACTAATTGTATTTTTAGAAATCAGTGTATTATATCAGTTTATTAACAATTAAGCTGAAAGAACTGATTTTGGTATAAACATACTTTGGTTTTGTGTCAAATTTTAATTTAGAAAATCTTTGTTAAGTGGATGAGATACCTTTGGGACAGAGTTATATGTTACAGAGTTATATGTTTGCTAAAGAGCGGTGTCCACTGAGGAGAAAGAAATGTAAATTCGCAAATCAATGCTGAAAACTGTTTTATCTGAGTTCATGTAATATTTAAATAAATGGGAAATTAGAAATAGAGAAATTCATTTTTATTTATTTAAAATTAATAAAATTCAAAGTTATCTGTCAAAAAATATACGTGTATTACTCTTATACTAAATTTGCTTTCAGCAAATAAATAAGTCTATTCAAATGTTTCTATTATTTAGGTTTTTAGGTGCAGTTTATTATGTATGTATAATTGACAGTTACAGTTACAAACGAAACATAAATATTTTCTTACAAATGACACATTAATTATTTTAATTTTTATTTAAATATCGTTAAGAATTAATTTCTTAGTTAATAAAAGCACATGATGAAATTGAGATAATTGTTTTAACAAAAATTTCCACCCAAAATGTTTTGAAAGTAAGAATTTTTTTATTTTGTAACTTGGCAAAAATCTCACTTCGAGACATTTTATTTCGGTATAAATTGATTTACATTTGAAACATTATTGAAAAGTAGCATGTTGGCTAAATTGGTCATCGGTAACTTTAAACTGAATTTTTACAACAGCATATTTTTTATTTGTTAGCTCAATAAATTCAATTAAGATTTCCTTATTGTCGGGCTAACCATGAATAGTTTTCATGTTCTTTTTTTACCATGTAGCAAGATTACTGGTTAGTTTCATAGGAAAAGTTTTTCATGAAAGCAAATTTGCCCTTGTATGCTGTCTTATGTTTAACAGAAGCTACATTAATAGAGTCCACTGAAACATTTATCAATTATGGAGTGCAAGTCTTCATAACATAATGAAGTTTTATGTTAATCATTCTGCATCAGAACAGCCATCCCAAATTTCTTTTAGAATCATTTTTTTAAGATTTTTTTTAAAAAGTCAAGAAATAAAAACATGTTTTTATTTATGCAGGCGTGCAATAAATTTCCTTAGAACTATATATTTTAAATTATTTATTTGATAGAAAATTAAACACTTTTTATTAATTTTCGCATAAAATTTAGAAAACCCGGCCAGGTAATCATTTCAAATTTTGTGGGGGTAAATTATTGCTAAATTATTTTAAATGATAATACCTTATTATTTACTTGAACAAAGTGATAGGATAAATATCTTATGCATGGTTAAGTATTTAAAATGATACTTTTATTTACTTATGTATATCAGTAAATAAAAAATCAAGTGCTCAAAAATATTCCTTTGTTGGGTAAGCAACAATAAACTAGTGGTGACTTTTTAATCAGAACTTTTCTTGAAATGTTTTCGGGTGTTTGTTTATGATGCTTACCTCTATATTAAAATAACCATTGATTTAGAGTAATTTTTCTAGAGAATTTCCTGATCAAAAGTTAAGTCCTCCTTAAACTATTCAACTTATCCTTACTTTTGAATCATACAAAAATTCATAAAATATGTTGATAAAATATGATAATATATATAATTAAGATAAGATATGATATATGACCTTAATTACTTTTATAGATAAAATCAAAATTTTAAATTCTCTTGAGAGAAAAAAATTTTTTTTTTTGAAATCTTATTAAACTGTGTTTTTATTAAAAATTGTTAGAGCACTAAATAAAATAGATTAAGTAAGTATATAATAGAATAAGTAAGTTTTTCTAAATAATTTATTTGGCAGTTACAACATCCTATTTTTACAAATTAACATTATATCATCATTACCAGATTGCTGTATCACAAAACAATGTGATCCATATGTGTACATTAATATTTTGGATATAAATGTAGGATACCTTTATAAAAATCATTATAATTCTGAATTTGAAAATTATTTTTAACAAAAAATTTTGTTGTAGTGATGAAAGGGAAAAAGATTCAGGAAGTCTCTTTGGAGAAGCAAGTTCTTCTAGTACTGCTCAGAATGGCCCAGTGTGAAAATATATAGGAGTAGTTTCCAAAAAAAAAATATTGTTTTTTGTAACAAGACAGTGATTATGCTTAGCCTCCATAAAATAAAATGTTATTGTTGTGAATGTTTGAAATTTCATTCTTTGTCTGCATTAAATAAATATTTTGCAATTGAGGTATAATAACACATGCAGATTTGTATATGCCAAGCATCTTTTTTAAATATTGAAGTTCAACTTTTAGAATTTAAATGAATTTAATATTACTGATAAATTAATGTACAATGTTTTCCTAAATTATTTTTAAATAATTAAGGCAATAATTTGTAATTTATTCTTAAAAACTTGGGTAAAATTCTTCATTGAAATTAAAACATCAGGGCTGGTCTCTGAGTATTATTTTTGTTGTTTTATTAAATTTAATTTTGATTCCAGTAGATGTGTTTTTAGTTTATGTTACCTTTGTATTATAACATTTTTCTTGTTCAATTTTGCTTGTATCATGAGTCGTATTTATTGCATTGCTATGACAACTTAAAAACTGTGTTACTGAAGATTGTTGTATACTCAAAACAATGCACATTTCGCCATTTCTCAAATTTTAGTCATCTTCAATTATGGACACGAACATCAGTTATCTAAAGCATGATTTAACAAGCATCTAGAAAATTGACCTACCTTTATTCAATGTTTTCTCAAATAGCTGTCAAAACAAAATATGCATAATATCAAATATTAAGTTAGATTCATAAATTATTTGCTTTAAATAACTGAAGTTCTGAAGATGTATTGAAATTATTTGTAGAGCCACCTTTGAATATGGCTTCCACTCATTGTTTTATGTATGTTATTTTATTTACCTACCGACTTAAAAGAATTGAATGGAAATACCTTTAAACCCATGGCGCTTTCATAAATAAATAAGTTTGGGGAGAAACAACATGTTTTTCCCAAATCTCTGTTTATGTATCTAATAACATGAAGAAAACTGATTTGGTGTATGGAAAAAAATATATGCCAAAATGCTACTTTTACTCCTGAAGCTGTCATAGGGTTAATTATGTTATTTCTATAATTTATTATATTTCCTTGCTTATTGAGACTGTGAAAGTTGTATTGTGAATTTGAATTGTCAGATTTCATAAGAGAGCTACTGTTAACAATTATTAGTTGTTAATTTTTATATTTATGAAAATTTACGATTTTAAAATGCTGTTGATTTGTAAGAGTAGTCTTTTGTAATTATTTCATTTGTGTATATTACTAATGACAGGAATTTATGACTTAACTATCTGAGAAAGTGTAAAAAAATGTGTTTCTATTTCGTTTTGTAACTTATGTTGCCTTGACTTATTTTTTCTCTGATGTTTCATTAATGTAACAGTTATTTTAATTTACACATAAAAAATATGGTATTTTATACTTTAATTTCATTGTTTGGATCTTTCATTAATAGTATTGTCTCTATCCATATATTATATCACTGTAGGTGTTGACTTTAAGATAAACTTCTGGATGACAATAATTCTTAAAGCTAATAAAATAGATAAATATATTAAATCACAAACAAAAAATGTAAGTGCACTAGATAAGAAATTATGAAATGCTTTGGTATTCGTTCTATTTATTGCAATCAAAAGACTATTTTTGTTATAAAAAAATAATAAACAAATAAAATTGTGTACAAGACTAAAATGCAGTTGTGTCAATTTATAACTTTTTACTTTTATGCTTTATTCATTTACCATAACACTTAACAAAATATATATATCTATTTGGCATTTAGCAAAGTTAGCCTTAGTTTTGTTAGCTTTTAATTTTATCACTGCCTGATCCCTTTGAAACCAATTTAATATTTTCAAACTTTCTGATGCGTGATGAAAAGTATTTATAAAACTCTGAATTATTTTATTTTTAAAAAAAACTGCAAAATTGAAGCATGAGTGCCAGTAACATTACCAATTTTAACAAAATGTCTTTAGGAAGTTGGAAAATGCTAAGCACCTTTCTTTTGTATGAGTTACAAAAAAAATTTGTATTTAAGCATTTCCTTGCCCTGTTGTTTAGTTAATGTGTGTTCATTCTACTTCATAACTTTTGTTTTATTACTTAAAGATTCATTTGAAAAACCAGGTGCTGAAAAAGGTCCCAAAATTTCTATGTGTCTAAAAATAAATAGAAAAATCCTTACAATAGTAAAGATAATTTGAGTACAAAGTAATTTGATCAGAAATAAAAAAATTTATTGATGAAAATTTTATTTAGCTGTTCTTTTTTTAATAATTTTATAATATTTCTTTCTTATTCCATATCTATCCATTTTATTCAATAATAGCAGTTCGTAATCTAATTGTGGGTGATTCAATGCCCTTGCAAATCATTTTAATTTTGAAATAAGCTTATTTATATATATATACTTTTTTAGGATAATTGAAATTTTTTTTATCAAAACCTAAACATTTTTATCTGAAGTTTACCCTCTCATTTTACACTTTAAGAATAAAGAAAAGAAATAACCTTTTTATACAATTATTGATTTTTTTATTTATTTTCCCTGGAAACTAAGATTTTTTTACCTTACTTACGGACTTAATTTTATGTGTGGCCTTTGTGTTAAAGGATGCTACACAATATCTTTTGAAGTAAGTACAAATGATATTAGATGGAGAATGTGGGAAATGAGGTAATGGAAATCACAAGTATAAAGAAAAAGTATATATGTCATTTAAAAAGCTTTAACCTTCATGAATCTATTTAAAATGGTTTTGCAAACACCTTAATACATTTTTATATTGTTTTTCAAAAATGATCTTACACTTCAGGGGAATACAAGTTTACGCTTCTGTGTTTGCAATTTAATTAATTTGGGAAAAAGCAACAGTTACCATCTAATGAAACACTTTTGAGTAAGGCGAGCTTAAAAAGATCAAGAACAGTTTGAAGAAGAAATTTGAATGGTTTGATGTTTTTAATTATCCAGTGCTGTCAATTTCTTCGGGCGATCACACAGGTTTTGATATTTTTAATCTGCATAATTAAAATTGTACAATATGAAAAATTTACATTTTTTTTTATAAAATAAGACTGGAATTGATTGGACTATTCAAAATAGGATTCTAAATTAAGATTTTAAAAAAATTTATATACGAGGACACTTAAAAAATCTCAGTTGACATATGGTAAAAAATGAGCACTCAGATTTTTTTTTTAGTCATATAACATAATTGTTGCACCAAAGCTTAATTTTCTAACTAGTCAGTGATGATTAAAATAAAGTGTTTCATGCTAGATGTTTTGAATTCTAACATAATTTTTTTTTTTTTGAAAGTAAGTAAAAGATAGGAAAGAGTTGTGCCCCTAATTCATTAATGAACTTCAAAGTTTAAAAGCAAGGCATTCAATCTCTTCATTGAAGTATGAGCTATTTTATAACTACCCAGTGTAAATCTTGTAATTCGCTTGTTAGTTTAATCGTTTTTAGTAACCTATTAATTTCTTGGCCTCAAGTTCGGGATCTTAATCATTAAAGCACACACATTAAGGAAGTATTTTTCAAACATTATTAATATCACGCACGCGAATAGCTTTTAAGCATTTGTCAAGTTGAAGTTTTTGTTTCAATGGGACCGTTTAGAATAAGATAATGATTTAAATTTGAAAACATTTATAAAATATGTATGAGAGCATGAGTCTTATAACACAAATGATAGTACATATAGCATAAACTACTGAGGTACAATTACAAAGAAAGAATGGGAGTTACATCAAGGGTCGAGGCAGGAATCTAATTCGCTGTCTTCATGCTTCCGATCATTTGCCAAGCAGACAACTTTTCTCGACTACGGAAGTTGCCCTTCTGTAAGAATGGAAAATGTCAGAGATTGGAATTCTTTGGTCAAGAAACAAGCATACTATCGATAAGTCTAAAGAGAGATAGATCTGTTAAATCAACTAACCAGCGTCTCGACAAATTTAAAAAAATAATACATGGTGCGGAGCGTTTTTAAAAAGTGCTTATTTTAGTTTTTTAGAAGTCCTTAAAGGTGCTTTTTTTCTTTGGGTGTTTTTAAGAAGTGCTTAATTTTCCTTTTTCGAAAAGGGAATGTCGATTTTCGCCATGCATTAAAGCGCGGTTTTCACATTATTCTAAGTTTTTACAATTCACAGTCGTTAGCATATGAAAGAGCCAATCATTTTGCATGTTTGATGAAATACTTGCGAGTTCGCATATGCGTCTTCTACTAAGCTGGATTTGGTGAGATTATTCCACTCACATGTGCAATTCTGCTGAATTTTATTTCAATTTCAGGCTTCATTTTCCACCCTCTCTTATAATGAACCAAAAAATCTCTCGGTCATTTTATAATGGCTAATATAATCAAGAAAAAAGATTTTTGTCAGAAACTAGTTATTTTATCATGATCATGTAAAGTCTTTGAAAATTATTTTGTTAATGTATATAGTACTTAAAAATATTTTTCGAGTGCTTAAAAAGTGCTTTTTTGTTGAAATATTTGACTACGCACCCTGTAATAAAATCTCTAAGGAAACATTCGTAAACTTACGGCTAATTATCCAAAAAAGTTGTCTGTGTTGCAGAATCTTTGATTTTCTATTCTCAGAATATTAGAAGTACTTTATACTAGACTATACACTAGAGCTGCACTATTGACCACGCTCTGGGAAACATCTCTGAGGATAATCCACTACTCGGAAGGGGAGTAGTGGATTACAAAAAGCAATAGCTTTTCTATAACACTTGATAAATGAAGTGACTTCTAGATTCTTCTACATTCTGATTTCAATGATTAGTCAGGATCTTCCAAAAACTTTATAGTTTGCAACCTTCGCTTGTATTTGAACTTTTATAACAACAATTGAGAACCGAGTTTCAATTATCAAAGTCCTTAGTTTTTAGGAAACATGGAATTATAGGAAACCGATAGTTGCACAATTAAATTTAAGTTTGTTTCATTATGCTTGACGTTAAATTTTGACTGATTAAAATTTTTGTTTTACCTTTAAATGACTTATGTACATAGCTGATTTTTCTCAGTAGCTTTATCCTTTTCATTTTTAAGCAAATTTTTCCCTTCGAAATATTTAAAAAGTAAAATGTATGTTTTCTTTTTCTCAAGTCTATGTGCTTTGAATATGAGCACTTTAATTGGTAAATGAATTATTCTTTCCTTTTAGTTAACGCAACTAGTTTAATTTCCCTACATAAAAACGGCCTGCTATTAGCTTCGAATTTGTACCAAGTCGCAAAATTTCTCTATATTATGTTACTCTGTATCTAAAGGGATTCTCAAGTTATGGCCCACGAAACTGTTAGCCATTCGTCATAATGAATTTAATTATTTTATTAAATCTTTAAAACGAATAATGGAACTTCTTTTGTATTTATTTAAAAGGAAAGGAATAAGATTATTTTTCAAAACTATATATTTTTTCTCAGTATATTAACAGGAAGCGCAATATTTTATTATACTCTCACTACTTCATAAATACTTAGAGGACAGGGTCACTCTAATAGTCACCTTATTTAATTAGCATGTCGTAGATTTAGAGCTAAACAGTTTTCATTCATTTCAGTGTATGTGTATAAAATCATTCATAAAATTTATAGTGCTGCCATCTATCTGTTTGGAGAGCTACTTGTTTCTCACACTAAGTTTTCATCGAAATAAATGGTTTTCTTTTGTTTTTACTATTTAAAAGCTCTTATTTTTAAACATTATGTTATTTTTGCTCAAAGACTAGAGAAATATAGCAAACAAAACTACTAAAAAGTAGGAGTTGTTTAAAATGCTTCCTGTGACTCATTTTTTTTTTAAATTTTTTTTATACATTTTTTTTTTAAACAAATTCACAGTGAAAATGATAATAATAATAATAATCTTTAAAATAATGAATTCTGTATCACATCAAGTACATTTTCCGTTCGTCTTTTCAAGAATTCTTTAGCTGGAGACTACAAAAACAAAATCAGTTAATGGTTTATTTTAGGAAAGTTTCAGAATTTTTTATTTATTCTTTGATTAAATTATTTTGTTTTATCTTGTAGAAATAACGTCAAATCTTCGTTTAAAAAAAGTTTGCTATAAGAGTATGAAAAATAAGTTATGAAAAATGTCTGAGTCAAAGTGTTAAGATACGTCAATGTTATATTGAATTTCATACTTCACATTTAGAAATCAGTTCCTTCAAAATAATTAAAATATTTTTGTTTAGAAAGAAATTAATTGATAAATGTTTCAGATATTTATTAATCGTAAAAAAAATATCAACTATAAATTAACTACTTATTACAGTTAACTACTTTTTCAATATGAGAAACACGGGAAAAAGATTTTGTGCAAACGAAACTGATTGCACGGTTTTGTCCCTTATGCAGTCGCTGGCCAAATTATTGGACGCACTGTAAGATTCTATGAAAAATCTTAATTACCAGGCGATACTATACTGTTTTTATGTGACTGAAACCGGTTTGCACTTGTTTACATTAGTGTATCAATTGGTTAAATTAGACGATATATAATATAAATTTGATAATAGGATAAATTAGACGATATAAAATATTTATTATATAGCATTATATTAATATATTATAATGATTAGATCAAATTAATAGACGCACTGTAGTTTTTTATTAATTACAAGATTTGCACGCATTTATATTTAAACGTACAAGT